ACACAGAGAAACCCAGTCTCGAAAAACCAACCAACTAAACAAACAAAAACAAACAAAAAACAGGTATTGGGGTGTAAAGTCCTGACACCATTGCAGAAGAGCCCTCGAAGGTCCTGAACCCTCCCTGCCTAGTATACCAGGAATCCTAAGCTCCTGTGCTCTCTATGATGCCAACGTATTAGCTTCCCAGAAGCTCTGAGGGGAATGCCAGTACATCTGGGCAGCCAAATTATGCTGGGACAGCTGGAAGCACTCAGTATGCCCTGCCCATCCCATCCCATGAGGAGCCTGGACATACAGAACAGCAGCTGTAGTCACTGGTCTCTATTTAGAGCCAAGGAACTGGGTGGCAGGCATGTGTAACCATTCTTCAGCCCCATGAGGCCCCTCTTATGGGTACCAAGCAGAAGGGAAAACATGCTGCCCTGGGAATTTGTGGCTCCTACTTGAGGGAAATGCTAAAACTGAAAATAGCTGCACAAGGGGCTTTAGGACCAGATGTCCTTTTCTGATAGTTCACTGAGATGGTAAGAAGCCCCTTTTCCTGTACGTGGCTCTGTTCCCCCAAACTATAGCTACACATCACTTGAAACGCGGCTGTGTGACAGCAGAAGTTTTCAATGCCTTAGAACAAAGGTAAGGTCAGGGAATGGGCAATGCCAGGTGGGATGGGAGGTTACCACATCAGACAGAACAGTACTGGGAGCCTTATCTTTGATAGCGTGCAGACTGACACAAACAACTGCAGGAAGGGAGACCCACTGATGGCAAGGCCATAGGCTAGGGACACTGGAGGTCTATTCAGACACTTTTTGATGACTCCTGCCTAGGCTAGCGAGGCTTGGCTTTCAAGAGGTACCTGCATCTTGGCCAACCCAAGGTCCACCTTTTGGTTGATGTCCTCCTGGTTCTTTTGTAGGGTGCTGCAGGCTGCTTCCCGGCCCTTCTCCTCTTGCCTAAGCAAGTCAGTCAGCTTGGTCACCCTAGAGGCAGTAGGTGTGGTGACATCAACTCAGCTGGGGAAACACCCGGAGGCTGGTGGGCTTTGGGACCCTAGGTTCTTCTTAGGCTAGGGAGCACAACCTGCCCAGGTAACACATGGAAGGGTCCCTAGTGAGGGCTAGTGGCCAAATGAAAGAGAGCAGGAAGGCGGGGGGGGGGCAGGGGGGGCGCAGTCAGCAGTGCGGCACTAATGGCCGAGGATGGCCCGCTGGTGGCACTAGGGCAAAGGGCAGGTAGGACCTCAGCCTCAGTCAGGTCTGAAACTCCTAATGTTTATACTAAACTGGTTTGGAGTCAGTTCAGGGAATTGGCCCACCTGAGGTTTATCTCCTGCTCGGAACATTTCCGCTCTGAGTCCTGTAGCACCTGTGTCCTCCTGATCTGTGTCAAAGCTTCTCGGACCTCCACCAGCCTGGGATAAGGAGTTGCCCTGCCAACCCCAGAGCAACTAGGGAGCATTTATTGCCATAGGTCTAGCCACGGGGCCCTGCAACCAGCCTCCCACCACCTGTACAGAACCCAGTCTGAGTTGGACTATTATAGGTATCATCTACTTAAAAAAAGACACCCTCATGGGCCCTAACACCAGCCACTCCAGGGACGCATGGGTCCCAGTCCCTCCCACTGAAGCTTATGCTTGTCTCTGTTGTGTACCTTTTGTCCAGGACTTGTATCTGGTTCTGGCTCTGGGGCCCAGACAACTGCAAAGGAGGCGGAAAGAGGGACTAGGCAGGCCAAGTTTGCTGCCTAAAGTCCCTCCAGTACTGATGCAGGTGGATGTGTAGGAGCCAGGGCATGGAACCACTGAATTAGTAGGGTCAGGGTCCAGGAAGCTGTTCCAAGCACAAGGAAAAGGGTGGCTTGCTTATGTCTGCTGCTTGGCCCAATGTCTTACCTCTAGCGCCTCCTTCTCAGGGCTCCAAGCTGCCTGCTGCACTTCTTGCCTCAGCTGTCGCAGCTCTGAGGCCTGCAGCTGCACACGAGCACGAACCTGCAGCAGCTCACGGAGCAGGCCCAGTGTGGCATGCTCACAACGTTCCTTGTGTCTCCTCAGGCGAACCACCTCAGCCTGCAGCTCAGCTACCCTGGTCAGGGCCAGAGCAGCCTGGTCAAACAAACTGTGCCTCTCTCGGAGGTTAACTCCTCAGTGTGCCATCTTTCCCTGTATCTCATACTCTGTGAAACTCACCACTGCTCCAGCTGTTTCCGCTGCTTAGGAGTGTCATGTTCAGGGACCAAGGAGCTGGATTCCCGGCTACCACACTCATACCTCTCTGAGGTCTCCACACTCAAGGGCTTGGGACTGGCTAGGCCTTCTGTTAAGAGAAGCTGCAGGTCCTCGAGCGTGACTGTGCTCAGTTGTGAAGGTGAAAGTCCTAGTGAGGGGCTGTCCGCTGGCTCTAGAAGGAGGCACCTTGGGAGCTTATGCTCAGGAACAGTAGCAGTCCCTGTAATCTTGCTCAAATGCCATCCTGAACCCAGCTCTTGCTGAGTCAGAGACCAACCAGCTTGCTAGAGGTTCAGATAAGAGGGGTTGAGGGCCGGGAGGAAGGACACAGTTCTGGGAAGCAAGAGTAGCAAGCTTTCTACCTGGCCAGCTCTATCAGCCCCTGTAAGGTTCAGAAGAGGGACAGCTCTGCATATCCCCCCCGGCCCCACTCACCTGACATGGCTTCACCAGCAGTCACCACCTGTAGCTCAGGTTACAATATCAGTGCCTATGTGGCTGCCCAGAGCTGGACATTAAGGCCAGGGTGGCTGAGAGGTGGGTTGGAGGGAAGCAAGTAACTAAGGTCAGGAAGCTGCAGGGACTGGGGATTGGTAGAGATAGAAGGCTTTGGGCCAGAGTAGGCAAGGACTTAAGCGGCTGTGGTACTTAGGGAGGTGAGGGTGAAAAGGGGAGGTCTTTGGGAAGAAGATGGGAATGGAGACTGTGGACCTTTGGGAGAAGATGAGTCAGAAGAGGCTGTGGACCCCCGAGAGCAGTTGAAGTATGAGGTAGTGGGCTCCTGCCCTTATACCTGCCTCCAAATGAGTTAGTCTAGAACCTTCTTTTTCTCACCAGAACCCTATGACTTCATGCCCAACTGCCAATGGAACCTGAGTCCTCATCTACCCTGTCCTGCAGCCTCCCTAACTTCTGATTCCTGAAAGGATGTAGGGGGACTATGAGGCATCCCTCTTGAAAAGGGCCTCTTCTGGGTTACGGCCATGGTGAAGAGGTTGTCCAGGAATCTTCACAGGTGCTTGAGTCACACACACATAGAGCAGAAAGTGAAGGTCCTAGGCAAATGGGACATAGTCAGCACTGCATCTAAGAGCAGAGACACCCAGAGGGTAAGATAGCAACCACAGAAGAGACCACTGGAGTTTCAGCCTTCCCAAGAGCCACAATGATAATATTGGGAGACATGTTTTGATTGTTTTATTTAACCTAATATATCCAAAAATATCATCTCAACATGTAGTCAACACAGAACTGAGGACAGATTGCACATGCTTTTTTGGTACCAAGTCTTTGAGGCCCTGTGCAGTGTTTTTCATCCCCTTGGGTCCAACTTAGATATGGCTCTTCCCAATCCAGAGCACCCCTGGCTTTGTCACAAAGACCTAGTGGAGCAGGCAAGGTGGGTCAGTTACAACTTCTTGACATGCAGAGCCTGGCATGCCCAGGTTTGAGGACAGGATGTCATCCAAGAAGGTGACAGAAACCACGCTCTGCATTGAGCCTGAGAACAAGGCTGTGAGATGGGGATGAGGTCAGGGTCCCTGGATGACCCTCCCACTGGGCCCTGGGCTAGCTGAAGTACTTCTCAAGAGTTGCAAACCACTGCCCCTCACAGTCAGCAGCTACTGTTATAGAGGTGCCACTTGCACTTGTTTGATCATCATGCTGGGTGCCCAACTCTCCAGAATGCTGAGCCCTAGGCAGAGACAGGAGCCTCTCATTTCTCATACCCAGACCCAACAATACAATTAGTCCACCTCCTCATGGAAGGAAGAGCCACTCCTCTGGAGGGATGACAACTGGGAGGCAGCAGCTGCCAGCTTCCCAAAGGATCCATGTGGCTTTGTAACAGACAAGTGCCAGAGACACTGGAACTATCCTTACACAGTGTCCTAGAAGAAGACTCAGAAGGTAACTGCTGGATGTCAGGTCTACCTTGGTCCAGTGGAGCCAACTCTGACAATACAGGGTTTCAAGGTGAGGCTCCTTGGCTCTGGGTCTGGCTCAAGGTCCCTGGATGACCCTCCCACTGGGCCCTGAGCTAGCTGAAGTACTTCTCAAACCACTGCCCCTCACAGTCAGCAGCTACTGTTTATAGAGGTGCCACTTGGACTTGTTTGATCATCATGCTGGGTGCCCAACTCTCCAGAATGCTGGCCCTAGATCCATCTTAGGGCCACCCTTGGATGGCTAGGTCCTGGGAGGCCCCTGGCCAAGGGTGTATACAGTGCAGTTATAAACAAAGCCACTATGGACATCAGAGTCCCAAGTGCTGCAGGAGGACCTGCCTTCCAGCTGTGGTCCACAGTGCCATGACCCCCAGTTCTGAAAGCCTGGGGTGGATGTAGGTAAACCCAGATTCAGTCTTCATGTGATCTTCAGCTCTCAAGCCCCAGCCATAGAACCAGTCTCCCCATCTTCTGGCACATGTGGGTTCCCCCAACAGAGTCTGTTCCAGGCTGCACAGTTCCTCATGTCCTTGCTGCTGAAGCTCTTGGCTGGTGTGGGCAGTACCACCACAGTGTAGGTGCTCAGAGAAGAAACAGCAACAGGCAGTAGCTCACGCCTGTCTGTCTGTCTCTGTCTTTTTCTCTCTTTCTCTCTCTCTGTCTCTCTGTCTCCGTCTCTCCTCTCTCCTCTCTCTCTCTCTCTCTCTCTCTCTCTCTCTCTC